CTTGGCCTCCTGAATGCTGGAATTACATTGCACCCAGCTTGAGAAAGGCAAGTTATTTTGAAAATGCTATAAAAGTCTTTACTCATTTTACTCCAACCCTCCCTCCTGTTAGTTCATGCCAGGATGTTAGTACATGTTAGCCATCAACTGTCCCATGCAGGGGTCAGGTCCATGTGCCTTCCCAAGGAAAGGCAGCAGAAAGCCCCTGCCAGCTAACACCAAATGTAGCCTCCCACCCTTTCTAGGTCTCTCCTTGGACAGTCCTAATTGGGCTGGGTGTCTAGGGCCTGACAGGACAGTGTCACGGCATGACCTATGTCTTTAGTCACCTGATTTATTACAGGTTTTGTTACTTTGAGTCAGGTGTTTTACCCCTCTTGATTTCACCTGTTAGTCTTACGCTCTTCTACCTCCAATTTCATAAGCCAAGATTGTCTCCATTCTGCACTGGAGTCCTTTAGTTGTTACTGAATCATAACTTTGTATATAGCTCTATCATATTTGATACTGTGATCAGGTAGACTCTTTTTAGAAACGGCTTGCCAATCAAAAGATGCCCAGACCACCAACCCAGGCCCTTCTTACCTCAAAAATTTGGACAAACCAAGCCAAAAATGGTGCCAAAAGTGTATCTGAAAAGTCTGGGATAGGGCTCAAGGTATAGTTCAGTGATGCAAGAGGTCCTGAGTCCATTGTTGATACCAACAAAAGCAAAAAAAAACAACCAAAAAACCCCACAAAAGTATGGGAAAAGTGAGAAACCAGCGCTGCCGAGCAAACTTGGGTGGAACAAGAGGAAAAGATCAAAGCAAAACAGAAGTACATGCTGCATGAGAAATGCAGTGCAGGCTACAGTAGCAGTCATGGTAGCAAGCTTTACGTGGTGTCTGCTCTTCTTTTATGCTGTCCACATCTCACAGGGGCTCATGAGAAGTCCCACATACAAGGTCCTTTAGCACTGGTAATTGACAAGTCCCGTTCATCTTCCCAGCTAACGTTGCCATTCCCTATCTGCCATATTGACTCTGCTGGCTTTTAAGTTTATTTTAAGTTGTAGTAAAGTATCCATAAAATTACCATGTTGATCATTTTAAGTGACAGTTGATTTGTATCACTGCATTCCCATTGCTTTCAATCCACTATTATCATCCATCTCAGAACCATTTTCATCTTCCCAGATGGAAATTCCATGAGTCAAACGATGATTCCCTTTTATACCCAAGCTCCTAACAACTTGCTGCCTCCAAATTTGACTACTTTAGGCACCGCTTGTGAGTGGAGTCTTAGTGTTTGCCCCTTTGTAATGGCATCTTTTGCTGAGCCAGATGTCTTCCAGGTTCATCGGTGTTACATGTGTAAGAATCTTTCTAAGGGCGAATAGTATTCTATGGTGTATAGGCATAATGTGTGTGTGTTTTAATGTATAAATATTACATTTTATTTAACCACTCATCCATTAGTTGGTGCTTGGTGTTTGGGTTATCTTTTGACTTGTGAAAAGTGGTGCTATAGACATGAGTATAGTTCAGGTCTCAGTGGTCTTACTAGTTTAACTCATTTATTACATATTGTCCTTATTGTGTGTTATTGGATAATTATCTGCTAATCAGATGTCTCTCTAACTTTATCCAAGACCCCCCCTTACTGATGCATTTCCTGTTGATCTGAAGTTATTGCACAAAATGACCATTTCCTCTAGCCTTTTTTTTTTTTTTTTTTAAACCAGGAATGGAACTCACGACCCTGTGCTTAGCAGGCAGGCGCTTAGCCACTGAGCTAAATCTCTGGCAGCCCCAGCCTTTTTGAAAGACTTTCACTGTGATCTTCACTGCTGTACTCTGGGAGCAGATTCAGGCTGTATGAAACCTGTCCGCCCCCAGAATTTAGCTCAAGACCAGGTCATATGCCCAAAAACCAAACTCTAGGCCAGGTTAAGATGGGAAATTTGTGTTTTATATGTGAAACTTGGGATTGAACCAAAGGCTTTTGCACTGCATCCCTAGGAATGCCACTCCTCCCCCACCTTTTTAAAATTTTACTTTATTTTGATGTGAGGGCCACTGCTGGCTTGGGGAGAGCCAGCCCCAAGCGTCTCTCCATGAGTCAGTGCCATTCGCAGACTGTAGAGGGAGAGAACAGGCCCCAACGGGAGGAGATCCTTGCCCAGACACCAGCACCAGGCACAATCCCTGCAGGCATGCGGAAAGCCGGACCCAAGCCTTTCTTTGTGAGTTGGTGCCATTTGTGGACTGTGGAGGGAGAGAACATGGCCCCACAGGGAAGAGATCCAAACCCGGAAACCGTATCATTTTCATTGTTTCGTTGGGTTGGGTTTTTATCTTCTTTTGTGTATGTTAACTCTGATAACATGACCAGCTATTTAAAAGATAGTAAGACATATTATGGAAGCCATTATGTGTTTAGTACTGGCTTGTTTTTATGTCATTTATTGTTTTGTTTTTATTGTTTCAGTTCTGTTCGATTTTTAATATATCTGAAGATGGTATCTGCAGTTACTTTGAATACAACAAAAGCATTATAGTTGATAAGGTTTGGAAGTTCTGTGTCACTTATTCTGGTTTATATTGATTGATCTTATTCTGTTTTATTTTCCTTGATTTTATCCTCTTTAACAAATGTATTTTATTTTAAAGAGAATAAAACTCAACAAAAAAGAATAAAACCCAACTAACATAAGGCAGTGAAAATGGTACAGAACTTCAAAACAGGACAAATCGACAACGGCTACCATAATACGTCTTGCTGTCTTCACAATCACTGTCCATGCCATGAGGCATAGCAAAATCAAACAAAACAAAATAGGCTAAAACTAATCAAAACATAACATTGAATAAAACAGAACAGTACATAAGAACAAAATGAGAACGAAACTATATATTGTTATCTTCAAAATAATTGCTCAGGTTACCAGTCACAGAAACAGTAAAATGGAACAAAACATTGGATTTCAAAAACAAGACAGGAGGAAATGCCCCACAGTTGACACAGTGCACGCTGCCATCCTCCCAGGGGATGCCCAGACCGCCCGCCCCAGACCTGCAGCCAACCAGACAATACAAGCATCAAGCCGTTCCCTTCCCCTCAGCTGCTATCAGCTCAGAGTCCTCTGAATCAGCATGGGGGGCGGGGTGCTCTTCTGGTTTTTCAGCCCACGCACTCAGTTGGCTCATGAGAAGGAATGGGTTCTCCTCTGGTTGAGGCTCACCTGTCATTGTAGCACAGCCTGCTTCATGGCAAGGCAAAGTTTCTCTTCTGGCTGAGGCTCTTTCCAATCCACATGGTGGAGCCTGCTTCATTGGAAGGCAGGAAGACGTGGCTTCTCTTCTGGCTGAGGCTCTTTGTGATCAGCATGGCAGGGCTTGCTTCATAGGAAGGTGTGGTTTCTCTTGTACCACTCCCCCTTTTGAGCCAAGGGGCTTGCTAAATGTTGAGTGGTACTCAAATGTGCCATTCTCCTACTTTGCCCAGGAACACTGGATTAAAGGCTTCTGCTAATATGCCTGACTGACTTGGGGAGTTTTGTATTTGTTTATTACCTATTTGAATGTCACTGAGACTGCACAACACTTAATGTCAGACATCAAAAAGAAGGAAACTAAGGCTTGAAGCAACCTTCTTAGGATTGAATTCTTTTGTTTCACAAATATTTATTGAACTCCTACTTGTGAAAAGTACCAAGCATACAGATGAATAAAATATTCTCTGTTCTCAGGGTATTTTATGGTACAAAATATTGGAGGAGCTTCCTGTTATAATCGAAAGGCTTTTAGATACTGATTCAGCCTTAGCTAAGGAAAATCCCAGAGCCATGAAAAAGCAACATGTGCTCTAAATTCAAATCTTAGTATGGATTTTAAGCAAGGATCTGTGGACTGAAATCTTAACATGAATGCTTTAAATGTGTTTAGCTTTTGCTTTACTTTGGCTAAGAGAAAAAGCTTTACCAGGGAAACAGAAAGTACTCCTGCTCTTGACAGTATAAAATTCTTATTATTTTTAGAGAATAGTAACTATGCATTTATGAAATTCTTTGTCAGAGCAATTTAGTTAATAGCTATGTAAATGACTACTTATTTCATTGTGTAGGTGGATCACTCTGTACACTTTGAAGAAAGAATTTAAGTGCTAGAAACTATTAACACTGCAGATGGAAAGAAGCAAAAGTGAAGGCAAGAATGCCAGACCTTTGCTTGTTAGTGTCTACGGAAGCAGAGAACTGCCAGCTTGTAGTGAGATGTCTTCGGGCACCAAGAGGGAGTTCTTAATCACTAAAGTGAATTGCCATGTGAAATGGTTTTCAAGCACAAAAGATCATTATAAACCCTGTTGGGGTAGGTCAGGAAGGTGCTAGAGATTGATCTCATAGCTATCCCCAAGCAAGGGAACATCTCCTGTAGACACCTAAAGGGCACTTCTAAAAGGTCATGCTTTTGCAGCATAAATTGTGGAGGAGTTAAGCCGGCCAAGTCTCAGGAAAAATCAGCAGTGCCCTGCCTGGCAGATGATCTCTGGCTCTTCCCTACCCTGAGTCACCGGCCCAGTGCAGAACCATCTTCAGCTGCACTTGAGTCAGGACATCCCACCTCTTTGAAGCGCTTAGAATCTCAGTTGTCACACAAACCACGCTAAAGTTCCTGGCAGTGGGTCTCAAGCTCTCATAACCTTCCTTAGCTCAGGGTTTGGCCCCCACTGGCACCAGCTCACTTTCCCGTATCAGGCGATTCTTCCTCCCCAGGGCTCCCTCTCCTGCGGTTCCTTGCCCGCAGCTCTCACCCACCAGTACAGTGAGTCCCTTACTGCGTGGCTCACACAGCAGTTGCTCATGGCCGGTCCCTCTGTGTCATGTTAGCCACTGAGAATGCAGCCTGGCGGCTGTGTGGCCGCTGCAGCCTGCAGCGCCACAGGTGCTCTATCCCACGAGCACCTCTTCCCTAACGTTCGCATATGTTCACTTTCTCTTTTGTTTTGTTCTCCTTCAGGTACAAACTGAAGACAGCGTCCTCCTGTTCGTTACTGCCTGGACAATCACAGAGATTATCCGTTACTCCTTTTATACATTCAGTCTCTTAAACCATCTGCCTTACCTCATCAAATGGGCCAGGTAAAGGGGAAACAAAGACTCTTGAAATTCTCTATTGTCATATTTGCCTCTCATGGCCTAAGTGTTGCCCCAAAGTTCCTAAAAATGAAGTTCCATGAGACAAACGTTGGATAAGAGCTTTCACTTTGATTAATAGAAACACTGTAGGAAAAACTTCACATTTTACATATTTTTATTTGGTTAATTTCTTTTCAGTTGAATTATGAGGTAAAGACTTGATGTGATATTCCTTTTTTGACCTTATCAAATTTTGCAAATGAACTTCAGCTGTTCCGGTGGTTTTTTTTAAGACCAAGCCCAATTTTCATAGTCTTAATTTTTTTTAAGAAGCTGCATCTCTTAAATTTTTTTAGTTAATAACAGGTGCACATGGTAGTTTTAACTTAGCAATTTTACTTTGCTTCAGTTATTTTTACCAGTAATATTTATTATGATGTGGGCAAAAGACTACTAGTTTACCTGTTTATCTTAACTAATTAATAAGCCAATTGAGGCCAGTTTTCTGAGTTAAAAAATTTCTTTGGCATGAGAAGGTAGGGCCTACAACAAAGTAGAAGAATCAGATTTGTCTGTGGAACAAAAATACCTCTTTTCATAGAAGGAAAACAGTGGTTACCAGACACTTGATGAGTTCAGTGACTTAAGGATATAATTCTGTTGTTTCCAACATTTCAAGTATGAGAACTCCCTTATTTGTATCATTTTTTGCAATAAACATCTTTACTAGGAAAGAGGAAGGATAGCAGCTACCAGTCAGCCTCATGTTACTCTGAATACTCTGTAGCCTGATTACAGGGTAGGTGTCGACCGAACCCTGATTTCACTATTGAAGAAAGATTGTTTTGCCCTTTCTTCTCCATGGACTATGGAAGAGTCTTCCTTTCTCTTACAAGAGTATGTCTTCCCTTCATCTTTGTAGACTGTTCAGCATATTCCGTGTCTAAAAGTTTGAAATCCAATTCCCACGTTTTATTTTCTTCTTGTTGTTCATAGGTTTTTGCTTCATTTTGTTTTGTTTTTGTTATTGTTGCTTTTGAGTCAGGCACTATAGGTCTGGCTGATGGCCTTGGACTCATGTTCTAGGCTGGTGTCAAACTGATGGCAGTTCTCCTGCTTCTGCCTCCTGAGTACTGGAATTATAGGTGTGTGCCACCATGCCTAGCTTCATGTTTCAAAAATTTGCATAAGAGGGTCTGAGGATTTAACTCATTGGCATAAATGCCTGCCTGGCAAACACAAGGTCATTAGTTCAATCCCTAGTACCAAAAAAAAAAAAAAAATGCATTCAGTTTTATATGATAGTATGTACAGATATTGAGAGAGTCATGCCGTATTTTTTTTTCAGTCCACAGACCAGACATATGTATATTTAAGGTTTGCCTGGATACAGCATATTTCAGCACCTTTCTCATGACCCCATCAACCCCCCACTCAGGATTTACTATGTGCCATCCCGTTAGTTGTTCTGAAGAGTTGCTTAATGAACACATAGAATTTGTTTTAGAACATTCAGAAATATATACCTTCTCTAGTCCTTTTTCATACTGGTTTGTGAAACCTGGATTTCAACAAGAGGTAAATGCGAAATGTAAAAACCAGCTCTTTTTGCAAGACCAGACTGAGTAGAAGAGTAGGGCACGCTTCCCACCAACACTGGCATTGCCCCTCAGTCATGGGTATTTTGCTCTGTTTCAGGTACACACTTTTTATCGTGCTATATCCAATGGGCGTGTCCGGAGAACTGCTCACAATATATGCAGCTCTGCCCTTTGTCAGACAGGCTGGCCTGTATTCCATCAGTTTACCGAACAAATACAATTTCTCCTTTGACTACTATGCATTCCTAATTCTGATAATGATCTCCTACATTCCACGTAAGTAAATAGTTGTGCGTGTATTTATTTATGTCTTAAAAGTTTGGCTCCACAGTAACTAGAGTTAAATGTCTTTGATTGTCTTTGCACTGTGTCCAAGTAAATATAAATCTGATTTACTGGGAATACTAGTTTTTATTGAATGCTGTCAAAGGGAATGTTCTCGGGTAGTAGTAACTGAATAAAGATGAGCCCTTCTCAGTAGAGCGGCCAACATGCAGCCCTTCTCAGTGTGTGGGTTTGAAATACTGAATACCAGGGTAAATTAATCTTATTTTGGGGGCAAGTGCTGAGTAGAAAGCAAAAAAGCCATTCAAGGCCTTACCTTGATTTTATTTCCCTGTCTCTTAAGAAAGGCTTGTTATGGTTTCTAAAAAACATAAAAAGATTTTTTGCATTGTTTACTGTATCAAAAGAGACAGTTTACTTCATTTTAAGGGATGAGTAGTTAACTAGAAACAACCAAATAAAAAGAGATATTTTTTTTCTACATGTCTCATTTTCTTGTTGAACACTAAAATCTTCAGGGACAGAGTGTTCCCTTCAGGATGGTTTCCAGTTATGTTCCTGGTGTTAACTGCACAGAGGATCAGATATGATCAGAGCGTTCTGAGTGGCAGAAAAGAAAGCACATGTGTGGCCCTCCCCACGTGTGACATGCGTCCTGGACACCACGGGTGGGTGGGGTGGGTATCTGGTAGTTGTGTCACTCCTGGGGTCTGTTTCTACATATCAGAGATCTTGTCAGTGCTGTTTGTGTTTCTTCTCCTCTAGCTATTTCTGCAGCCACTGTAACTCTGAACCTTGCCTTAGGCACTGAAGGGTACCATCGTCTCCCTTGAACCCCGAGTTAAGTTCAGAGTTTTTCCTCAGCCCCAGCACTGTCTGAATGAATCATCCTAGAAGTCATAAGCAACATGTGTTTTGTCTCTCTGTGGAAAATTGCATTTCATGCATTATAAGGAAAAAACTACATCCAGATTCCATGTGAACATTTATTTTAGAGAAATTCTTGGACACAGTCCTGCTTTCATGATTCATTTTCCAATCTGTTTTTGTTTTTATTTTTGTTTTGTATTGTATTTTTGGCACATCAGGGTCTCACTATGCAGTTCAGGCTGGCTTTGAACTCACTTTGTAGCCCCAGTGCTCTTAAACTCACAGCAGTTCTGCCTCAGCCTCCCAAGTGCTGAGCCTACAGGCATGCGCTACTGCACGCAGCTGTGCGTTTGCCAGCCTTCAGTCATCATCAGGTCCTCCCCTTCAGCTTGCTGGGGTGGTGCATGCCTGTAATCCCAGCACTCTAGAAGGCTGAGCAGCAGGATCACAAGTTTGAGCCCAGCCTGGGCAACTGATTAACGAGACCTTTTCCAAAAATTTGAAAAAATAAAAAAATAGCTGAGAATGTAGCTCAGTATACAACACACATACACACACACAAAAAACCTTTTGACCAGTAGTGTCAGAACTTGGTGGCAAAAGACTGTCTCTCTTCAGATGTAACAGATAGTTGTTTTCAAACAAAGGCAAATATGAATGAATCTACAACAATTAAGTAGTGAAAACTAATACTTTCCCTTTTCTAACTCCCAGCTTTAGAACCAAAGTGTGCACTTGGAATTTTAACATCCCAGAGCGAGCAGCGTGTGTTATCCCAGTGGCTACCACAGGGTTTATTTCCGTTCAGCAGTTTTTGAGGGAACAGGACATGTATGCCAAGCTGAGAAATGGCAGGAAAGGTATCATGAACACAGACCATAGAAAGGTATTTGCTTATTGACAATAATCCAGAGGTCCTGATCTCAGAATTCCTACATGATTTCCATTCTGGTGGGGTATGATGACACATGCGTGTCTTCAAGCACTTGGGAGGCTAATACCAGGAGGCTGTTGGTTCCAAGGCCAACCTGGGTTCTGTAACAAAACCCTGTTTCAAAGAGAAAAGATTTCTGTTCTGTCTGAGACGGGGGCTTCATTCCAGGAGCAGCTCCCCAGGCAGCCTGTCTGTATCTGCTGGTCTCCACTGAGGGGCCTCCTTGTAGCCAGCCCCTGTGCCAAGCCTTCCTGTGACCCTCCTGATGTAGTGACAGGGCTGGTCACGCACCACAGCCCTCCACAGTGACAAGATCCCTCAAGGAAAACAGCCACCTCCGTGGGATTGCACAGGCCTCAAAGCCAGCTGTCTTCTAGAGAGCAGAACAGGTCTGTGCTCCAACAGAACCCAGCCTTCTTGCCTTCATTTCTCTTCCAGAATCAGCCCCCTTTTGATAAGAAAACTTGACTTATTACAATTTAATGTCATCTCTATTTAAAAGGCATTTTAACTCCTGTGGACCAGGAAAATGATTGGCTTTCAGATAAATGCTGAAAGAATCCCTCCAGGTCCCTGACTGCCCGGCCATGTGCAGAAAGGCAGTCCAGTCCACCTCCCTGCCACGGCCACCCTCGTGTCTGCTGGCACCCTGTGCTCCTGGCCTGCCAGCAGCCCTGGGTGGTTTCAGTAAGGTTATTAATATCAGGACCAGATTGTATAGTTCATCCCAGCCAACTGCACATTTCCAACTTTCCAGTGCTTTGTAAGAAGAAAATGCAGCATTGGGTGACATTGCTGTTGACATGCAGTCTTTACCAAATTTGGTTTTCTTTCTACAACTTAACCTTTTCTGATGGGAAGTTGGCAATGCACATGTACTGTATAAAGTAACGCTTTTCTCTGTGGTTTTGATCCATTGTTATGCGTGTAGCTCCAGCTGTGGCCCTTGCAGTCATCCGGCTGAGGACTCCTTAGGGTTGCTGACAAGTGCATCTCTTCCTTGCATCTGTGCAGTGTGCATAGTAGGGAGACAGTGCAATATTTGCAGGGCCCAGTGGGCATTGAGGTCCGTACAGCCCCGCCCCCACCTCCCAGCAGGTTGGCAAAATTCAGTGATGTAACTAGGGACAAGAGAAAGATTGAGAACTAGTATAGGACAGGAACTCCAAGAAGCCAGCACTCTCCAGGTGATCAGTGACCATAACCACTCCTGACTCCTGACAATCTCAGGACTAGTTCCAGGCAAAGTATTCCCAGTTGCCCTCATTCTCCAGATATTGCTCTCCTGAGAGGAGAAGGGAGCCACCGGGATGGCCCCCATCCCAAAACGCAACCACCACCTCACTTCTGGAATGTGTCCTGAGCTAGGAAATGGGACGGTCAAGTGTTCAGTAGTGTCGTGGATGCAGGGCTCTGTTGTGTTTCCACAGTGCAGCCTGATATGGTCAGATTGTAGCCATGCCCCCCTGGAATTGTTTAAAGTCCTTGTGGTTGGGTTCAGCTTGAACACATGGTTCATCCTGATGGGGACAGTATCAAGAAGTCACCACTAGAGCTGCAGAGAACAGTCCATGTATCCCTGGGCTCCAAATACCCTTTTTCTTCTTGTACCGAGAATATCTGCAAGTGTAAGGGCATGAAAGGGTCACACACGTGCCCTGACTTGAGGCATCTGACTCTACTGGTGGCCGTAGGCCCTGGCCCTTGCTTTGAACTGAGACTGAAGCCTACTGAATGACTTCTAAGGGGTACCCTCGCTCAGGCCCTCTGTACAAGCTGTGAGGTTGGAGCCACACGCTGTGCTTATGTCACCTGTACATACAACCAGTGAGGAATACTGCCATGGCATGCTTGGCTCACAAAGATTGCCTTTGCTAAAGTAAACTTAGCAATGTGACTGGCCCCGCATTTTTAAATGATCACAATTAACATTCCTTGGGTTTAATTATATCTTTTACTTCCGGTTTTTATATTGTAGAGCTTGTCAAATTTTTTGGCTTGGCTTTCACAGCAGAATAATTCTCTTGCTGTTGAAGTCTGTGCATAAGCTGGGTCTTCTCCACAGATAACTTCCGGCCTGAAAATAGGTTAGTAGTGGTACTCAGTGCCCAGTGTCCCCTGCGGTTGATCTGCTGACACCTTCTGATATCATGGAGTACTTAGGGAGGATGGTTTAAAATGTGACCAGCTTGGAATCCATTTAAAAAGGAAGAAAATGACCAGGGAGAGTTGGCATTAGGAGTTGTCTCTCAGAAAGTACAGGTTACTGTCTAAAAATGAGATGATAGAGCCACTGGGGGCGGGAGGAGGAAAGAGGTATTATATACCAAAGGTTTCCCCAGTTATAGTAACCTTGGAAAACCCAGCAGCTCTAACTGGACTCAGGGACACTTGGCTTTTTTTTTTTTTTTTTTTTATCGGTACCAGGGATCGAACTCATAACTGCCGCTTGCAAGGCAGGCACTAATGCCACTGAGCTAAATCCCCAGCCCCTGACACTTGGCTTTTGAGGCTCACACTGCGAGGTGTTTTAGCACCCTGGCCCCTCTTCTGCTGGCTACTTGCTTTGCTTATTTCCAGACATTCCTTAGGAAGGTTCTCATCTGAGCCAGTGCTTTGTGTTTCATGAAATCATCAAAATCAAAAGACTCTCCAGGACCTTGGTGCCTAAGATACTTCCTTTCCATGAGGGCTTTCTGTGTGTCCTAGCACACCTTTGATCCACTGTGGCCCTTCCCACCCCTCAGCCATACCATCCAGAGAGCTTCCTTTCTGGAGTGCTCTGGGAGACCCTTGCCCCGTATCCCGGCGATAAGAATGGCTGGACTGGGGGTGCGGAGCCCAGACCCTGAGCCTTGCTGCATCAGTGACTTGATATGAGACCCAAGCGAGTCATTTGCTTTCTCTGGGGCTTGAATTTCTCTTCTTGAAACAGCAATAATTCCATCATAAGTGTTCTTCATCTGGTGGTTATGAAATGGATCAGAATGAACACAAAGAGAATATAAAAATTACTCGGCAGGGCTAGAAATACAGCTCAGTGGTAGAGCATTTATAATACCTGAGGCCCTGGATTCCATCCGCAGAATGAGAGAAAGAGTTAATTTGGTGGCATCTTAATTAGTAATAGTAACGACAACAGCATTGGTTGTAAATCTTAATAGCATTTGTCACTGCAGCTAACGCAGGAGAAGCAGTCTTTCCGCGTGGCCACTCGCCGTCTGCCCTGCACCTTTCCCCACCTGCTTCCGTAGCTTCCTCCGTTGCTGGACCAGGAAGTAGTCAAGAAGGCCGACAAGACCGCACGTGCATGTGCCGTGAGTAGAAGGTGCAGTTTTAAAGGACACCCTTAACCAGGTCTTCCTTTTTTTCTTTCAGTTTTCCCCCAGTTATACTTCCACATGATTCACCAGAGAAGAAAGGTCCTTTCTCGTACTGAAGAACACAAGAAATTTGAATAGTTCCTGCTTCCTGCACCATCCCCCAAACCAAACTTTTCAATGATCAAAAAATGCTGCAGACTTTTTTGAGTTCCCACTACGTTTCATAGAAAAGAATTAACTATTTTTAAAATATTAAAAACAAAAACCAAAATCCAGTGTCACGTGGGCCTGGGATTTTATAGAAAAAAAAGTTTTTTTTAAACTGTTAACATACAGTGTCCTGGCCGGTCCATTTTAGCATGCTCTTTTCAACCAGAAGTCCTCAATATTTAAATGGCGCTAGAGAGGGATTTGGCACCTATCTCCTCGTGTGTCTTTCTCATATCCAATAGAGAGAAACTTACCGCGCTGACTGCTCGTGAGTGACAGTCAGTCTGAGTAAGGAGGTTGTCCCAGTGTGTGCTCAGTTCAGTCTGCAGTGTGTTTGGCATTCCCTTCTCACAGTGCTTGACTGCATGCTGGAATCTCTTCGTATTTTTGAAGCGGCAAACTTTGTTCTCTAATGCTCTGAAGTTATGACTGGGATCAAGCCCCTCATATCTAGTGAATGAATTATAAAATGTATATGCCTGTGAAGCTTTGGGGTAGTGCCTGTAAACAGAAAAAAACTAGAACCCTTTTGTTTCTTTCCAATTGAGTCATTATTGCCTGCCACTGAGAAACATGCTTGAATTTAATCAGTATGTGCATAGTGTAAAGAACCCACCTTACCTGGCACTTGGCTTCGATTGTGTTTTAACAAGTGACAGTTCTCTGAGAGGTGAAGCTCAGTAGCTGGTAAGTGACAAGTACCTTTCACAGGACTGGTCTCAGAGCACCTCTGAGTAATGTATCTGCCAATAGTTGTTTTCATTTATGGACTCCAAGCCCATCTTGACACAGAGGAGCAAGGAATCTGTTATTTCAAGTTGAAGGAAGCTGTTGCTTTTAAAATGTCTGGAAAAACATAAAAGAGTGTCTTTATACATTTATTTGTTTTGTTTTCCCGAGTTTATTCACTCTTCTGTTCACTTCTCCTGATGATGGCCGCGTGTCCATTCCCACCTAGCATTAAGGGGCGGTGTGTGTTCCGGGGAGGCAGTGGAGTAAGGCAGTGGCATCCTGGCATGCGGGAGCAGCTGTGCTATAATTTGGTCCTGTGGACATTGTCTGGTTAACATCACTTCTGCATACCATTTAACTGCTCATCTCAAGTGGGCATGTAAACCCACTCAAGAAAGGGTGGGGGAGGGGCTGGGGATTTAGCTCAGCGGCATAAGCGCCTGCCTTGCAAGCAGGCAGTCGTGAGTTCGATCCCTGGCACCGATAAAAACGAAAAAGACAAAAAAAAAAAGAAAAGAAAGGGTGGGGGACAGTGTGAAGCCCGAGTTGATGTGTGCACTCAGTTGCACAGCTATACACAGTGTCTTCTTTGTGGAGCCTTTTTCCCCCCAACCCTTAAGACTTTAAAAGTCAGGCTTCATGAGTAATTTAAAATATAATTGTCAGTAGCAGAATGTCAGGATGAAAACTAAACTTTAAAATGCATATTTTCACAGAAACTTGAAAATCTAATCCAAGCAGCTATATAATACTTATGTTTTAACAACATTAAAATTCTGCTTCTTCAAGTCAGCACTGCGGAGTGCATGGAGGTTAGAATCTTTTTACATTTGCTAGAGAGACTGGGAGTGATGGTTATTCATCTTCTTAGCCCTTTGTGTTTTTCCAGAATGTGTTTCTACTATGAAACAGTTATTTTCAGTTATACTAGCCTTTATTTATTTGGTCAAGATTTTTTTTCAGTTGTTTTTGGGACTGTAGAAAGTGGGATGAAAAATGCAGATTTTCTTTGGGCTTCTTCCTTATAATTAATTATTACTTCTGAGAAAATCATCCTGTTGCAGAACAGCACACTGCATCGAGTTGAACTTACACAGTAAGGATGCAGGAGACAACTCCCTTTCTGCAAGGGCCTCCACCCCTGAGTATGCTTTTTACATCAACGTTTAAAATATAGCAGATAAATAAGGCATGTCATTGTGTCCTTCAGAAAACTTCTCAATAACTTCTCAATGGTTTTTTCATTCGGTCCTAACATGAATTCATTTCTCCTTTGAAGCAGTGGTCTTCTATGAGCTGAGAATGTCCAACCCCACTGCAAGTCACATCTTACTGTAAGGTGTGAAGGAGGAAGTGGTATTCAGTGAAGGTGTTGTCAGACTCAGTGGTGGCCTTGTGTGCCACAGAGACACCCGCTCCCAGCTCCCTCTCGGCATGGTTCAGATCCCGCCTCCCGGGGCCCCTGCCCCTGGAGACTTCTCTGAGGTACGCAGCAGCCTGTAGACCAAGCTGTGAATCTGCGTCTTGCTGTGCCATTGGCTGAGGTCGGGACTGCCCACCTCTCATGTTCCCTCCCTGATCAGAGGCCCCAGGGAGGTGCAGTTACGGAATAAAGCACTTCCTTCCTAGATAAGAGCCGTCCTTGGAAGCTGACTTCACTGAGGAAGGTAGCTGGAGAGGCAGATCGTGCCCTCACTTCTCACTTCTTGTGTTGCTTATTCATGTCTAATAAAAGGCTGGAATTGATGTGGGCCAACCTGTAAATTATTTTCAGTTCTGAGTTTCTAATAAACCATTATAAAACATTAAATTCATTGCACACTGCTCCTTTGAAATTTGAGTAAAGAAAAAACCATATAGAGTCATTTTTGTATTTTTTCTATGTTGTGAAAACCAAAATTGTAATTTTATAAGTCTTTGATTCACTAAAGTTATATAATTTAAATGTATTTTTTGTATATTTAGAAATAATGGAGTTCAAAGACTACGCTTAACTTTCTATGCATGCACTTGGAAGCTGTTTCTACTTGATAATGTAGTCATAAGTTATATTCATAAACTACTGACCTGTGTTGCATTTCAGAATAAACTGGTGTGTGCTCTGCCTGGACTTGGCCTGAATGCACTGTTGCAGGAATGTGGAAGGGTTGTGATTCTCCAGCTCTTTTTTTTTTGACAATTTTTAAACCTATTTTTGCTCTTAATGGTTCTTCTATTTTAGGAAAAGTAGCTTTTATTAAGAGGTTTCCAGAAAATCATTCTTCCCTGCCAGTCAGTGCTCAGGTTTACCAAGTCTGCAGGCTGGCTGCAGTTATGTAAAAGGGGCTGCAAAATCCAGGAAGTTGGTCAGCAAAACACTTTGAGCCCTTGTCTTAGAAGGGTGTTTGGGTTTGGGGTGTTTTTTATGTAGTTTATCTAAGTCGAATGGAGGCTGCTGTGGCCCTGCAGTGTGTGTGTCACATTAAAAAGCAGATGTAGTGAAGTGAAGTCCCTCCTCCTGAATGTGCTCTCGGCTCCAGTTCACACTAGCGCACCTGCACTAAGAAGTGGGGGAAGGACCTGATGAAGAGAGCCCGACAGGGTCTCCTAAGCCTCCAGCCCTAGGGCACTGGGGCTTTGCCTCGCCATGTAAATGTGTGCTGGGCACTCTCTGGTCAGTTCACTGGTGTATGAAGCAGTACTGTGCTCCCACTTGAGTCCACTGTGTCTTTCCAAGGTCTCCATGCCCAAGTGTGTAGTGTTGTCCCAAAGAGGAGTATCGCCATCCTAAAAGTTTGAACTCCATCAGGGTGTTCTCAGCATAGCAGTTAGACCACCATTTTCTCTGGAATCCACTCTGTCTTAAGGTGGGCTCTTCATTATGAAAAGAGAAAAGATATAAATGAAACGCATAGATTTTGAAGTCCATAGGGCTATCCAGAAAATACAACCTTCACAATTTAGGGTGCTAATGGGAAGCCAAGACTTTGTCATTGTCCTATACTGTGGCACTTAGGTGCACCATGTTAACATAAGCCTTAGCCTGGAGGAATTACCACTAGTATAATTGAGAGACCTACTGTTACACACAGCATTCCAAAAATACCACTGTTGTTCTGTTCCCTTTAACAAGAATGAAAATTAGCTTTGCAATTCCTCATATTATTAAAAAAAAAAAAAAAAATCCCAGCTTCACAAATAGCCTGGCCCACTGTCACACTGTTTAGTGGTGAAGAAACTGTTTTAAGCAACTATTACCAAAAATAGCTGTACCTGTTAACATTCCCCTACCTACAACTCAGAGCAGCGCTTGAAGGAGCTGGGTAGTGCTGGGGATTTAGCCCAGGGGCATAAGTGCCTGCCTAGCAAGCTTGAGGTCATGAGTTCAATCCCTGGTAACCCCCCCAAAAAAAGCCAGGTAGCTTTTTTACCAACACTTCAAAAATATGGACTATAATCACCCTCCCCCCGCCAGTGGATTGGGCTGTAGCTTGTCTAGCATGTATGAGGTCTAGAGTTCTGTTCCCATCACCACAGAAAAGTCAGAGGTACGCCTCAGTGACTTGTCACGGAGGTAACCTTTGCAAGGCCCTAGATTCTGCCACCAGTATCACAAAATAATCCTCTCATTTGATGAGCAAAACTGTGAGAGTGCCCACCTCAGGAGACCTCTTGTGCAGGGAATCACTTTTTCTGTTGGTGATTCCGGAGCAGAGACACCTTGGAGGGCAGCGCTTCACACCTGGCTTGGGTGTGTGCAGCCAGTCCGCCCTAGATTAAAACCTGGCGCTGTTTCCGCACCGCATGGTTGTGGCCGGCCTCTCCCGCTGGGGGGCAGCACCTCACAAGAGATCTGGCTCCAGGAGCCAAAGGAGTTTGCCGAACTTCAGCCTAAGGACACTGGGGCAGAAAGGCGCATTAACTAATAAAAATTTGTCACGCATCTTCAGTGTCCATATAAAGCAAAGATAAATTTTCAAGCACATTCTGAGAGTACAGGAAATAGCACTTTTTTAGAGCACAGAGCCCAGCTCCAGTGTGTGCTCTGAGGCTCAGTCTCTTCCGCCTGCAGTGCTCTCCCCGTCACGGTCCCTAGGGCCAACTAAAGTTTGAAAAGCCAGCAGCTTCGGAGCTGGCTCACGAAGCAGGTGTTAGCCCTCCTCTTTAGTGCACAGCCTGCTTGTTAATATTTGAAATGTCCAGGGAGGTCAGTTCCCACTCTCACTCTGTCTCTGGATATTTTTGGAGGGTGGCCTGGGCCATGAGAAAATGTCAGGCCACCTTATAAGGCTGTGTCTGGCCCCAAGAATGCCTGTCTGCAGCATGTTCCGTACACTCTGGACTTGAGTTCACTTGACTGTTGGGCTGTGGGTTTTCTCAGACTCAAATTGCTGCTATTCATGCCATGGGTTGTCCTCACTCTGACAGAGGTCTTCCCTGAGGATCAGCTGTCTGAAGATCACTGTAGTGAACACACTGCTAGATAACCAGATTGTGGCTCTGAGTGCGGATGGGAGTATGGGTATGGTAAAAAGAAGCTGTGGTTTTATTTTTTAATTTAATTTATTTTTTGGAATTGGGAATCGAACTCAAGACCTTGAGCTAGCCAGACAGACGCTTGTGCTACTGACACTGTCTCCCCAGTCTGGGGCTGTGGTTTTAAACAGAAACAAAATTAGTTTTTTCTCCTAAACATTTCATCTGTTTGATTGTTTGTTTGTTTTTAAACTGAGCTTCATCCCCAATCCTTGTTTTGTTTTGTTAAAAACAGGATCTTGCTAAATCACTGTATTACCCAGGCTGGATTGGAATTTACCATCTTCCTGCCTCAGCTTTCCAGAGTGCTGGGATATGCATGCCTACCACTCTGGGCGTGGCTCACTCTTTTCTAACCAAATAGTTTCAGTCTCCAAGAGAAGGGGTGCTGTGTGCAATTTTCCAAACCTGTCATTCATGTTTACTCAGGGCTAAGGCTCTTGGACCAAACCTTGATAAGCTGTAAGTGTTGGTGGCCCCCGCCCCATTCAAGATTAAAATGAGATGAGGGGCCCGACCTGGGATCTGGGAAGAGTGCTCCTTATTTCTGCTTTGTTGTTTCTAAGGATCTTGTGGGTTTTAAAAAATATATATAAACCACCATCATCAAATAAGTAAATGGAAAATACAGTGGTAGGAACCCAGATGCCAGTAGCCCTTGGCCCAGCCTCGCTCTTGCTGCTGTCCTGATGTAGACAGTGTCCAGCTGCGGATGTGAACTGTCCGCCTACCCACACAGACCGGGCTAGGACTGGACCACGAATGCTCCGAGCCCAGGTCCCCAGGACCTCCCGTTTGTGGCTGCCTATCTGGAGTACTGTCTGTGAGTCCATTTAAATTTCATTCTCCTAAAATCCCCAACTTATTCTTAACATAGGGTAGTATCCACATTCTCACAGAGCCAGCAGCCATCAGACAAAATTTGCTTGTCCTGGGCTCCCCTTTTCCCTCTGTGCGATGGAAGAGGTGACGCTTGATGCAGATCTAATCCCTGCCTTGAGCACTAGAGGTTTCCGCCCGTCTTCCTCGCCTCCTCTCTCTCTTGTCCGCTTCTCTCTCGGGACTTCCTCTTGGCCAGTTCCTCTGGCCTTGGCCCCGGCCCTCGGCCCTCGCATGCCCTCTGCTCCTCCCCTTCCTCCTGTCCTTGGGGAGAGTTGACTACAAGCTCCTCCCTCTTTTTCACCTGCCTCTGCCTCCCTCCCCAGCCTGGCTCTTCCTGCCTCACCCCCCCCACACACACACACACCAGCTCTACTGAAGATCACTAGTGACCTTGTTATGGAATGCAGTGCATACTTTGGTCCTTTTCATGGTTAAAATACAGGTGCAGGCTTTCTGGAGTTAGAAATTAGTGGAATGGTGACACATACCTGTAATCCTAGCACTCAGGAGGCTGAGGCAGGAGGATCACTGGGGGTTTAAGGCCAGCCTAGACTACATAGCCTGTGGAAAGAAAAGAAAGTGTGTGGATTCCCATTCCTGGCCAGGAATTCTCATTTCTCTGCCATGCATCCCCAGGGAAAGTATGCACCAAGAAGCAACAGAAAGCAAGCAAAAATGTGACAGCTGCTTTCAGTGCCCAGGTGGAGTTCTGGCAGGCGAGAAAGAACTCATCCTGCGTCCTAAAGCAGTGTGAGGTGGGAGCTTAACTAAAGGAAATTAGGAGCCCGCTCTGCTCAGCTCAGCTCACCCCACACTGCCCCACCCCTTTTTCTCCGTACCAGCACCTGGGTGTTAGCCCAGGTGGGAGAAAAGCTGATCAAACATGCCACCCGTCTCAGGAAAGAAACAGATGGATGCGCTCTCGGCACCAGGCTGGCCTCAGCTGGCAGAGCCCTAGACTAGGAAGGACAGGAGAGGATCCAAGGGCAGAAATCAGCCCCCCCCTGCCCCGCCCCGACTGCTCTGACACCTAGAGCCAGAAGGGATGGAGACAGGCCACACCATGTGCCCAGCCCTTTAATGATGTCCATCCACGCTGCCCATTCCCATTAGCAAACTCAGTTCCATCAGAATCGCAAGACTGAATTGAAGATCACCGTTCCTCTGGCATGAGGAAGGGCGAAGATGAGTGGAGAGTGCAGAACGACCTTAGAATATTTCCCAGGAAGCCAGTGTCTTTCCCTCCCATCAGCCACCGTCTTCCTTGATGTTATTTCTCTTGTCCGCTCTTTCGTTTTTTTCTCCCACCTCCTCTCCCACCACCTTGCTCAGTGTGCCCTGCCTATCTCCTAAAACTAGAGGTGCCCCAGTTTGCATGTGCAGTAAGAATCATCCACAGGGGCTGGGGATTTAGCTCAGCGGCATAAGCGCCTGCCTTGCAAGTAGGCAGTCCTGAGTTCGATCCCCAGTACCGATAAAAAGGAAAAAGACAAAAGAATCATCCACAGTGCTTGTTAACAATCAGAGTCCTGGCTTTTCCACAGACCTACAAGGTTGGAAATGCTGGAGATAGAGCTTTGGGCTCTGTTCCAAGACAGTGCTCATGGGTGCTCCTAATGCGGGCCTTAGAGAAAAGTTGTAAAATGTATTGTCTTACCGCCTTGGTGGGATGTGCCTGGAATCCCACCACTCTGGGAGGCTGAGGCAGGAGCA